TCATTAACACAAGGTGAAACTAAAAATTTTGATTTAACTTCATCATCTCAAGACGCAACAACAATTACTATTGATGATCCAGCTTATTTAAAAAATCAAGTATAAATAGAATAGATATATATATGATCTAGATAAAAGAGAAAAATGTCGATAATTTATATTATTTTTCATAGTCAAAAAGTGCTGAATGGCTTCAACGTTATGGTTTAAAAGCACAAAAATTAACATTTGATCAAATTCTTCAACAAATTGGATATAAACGACTTGAAAGTTTGTTGATTTTCATTTTTTTTTGATTTAAATATTGAGGAAACAATTAATAAGGTTAATTCTGTCAGTTTTATTACACATAAATCAAAACAAATTTAGACTGTGATTAATATCAAGGTACTCGAAACCAATACAATGACATTTTGATAGAACTCATAAAAGTTCTTTTCTTACATGTGTGTTGACATACGCTTTCGTTTGTCACTATTTATAAAGGAATCACTATCAATAGTAGTAAAGCATGTAGAAGAAGTGTTATAAGGTTTCTCACCTTCAGTATCGGTTAACTTGACAGATATCTTTACGTAAACTTCAAATTACTTACTGATAACATGAGATAAGAGTACTTGAGTGACATAAAGAGTAATAATTTATATTATACATGACATCAATTGAAAAAAAAAGAATTATTTAAAAAGATTCTAAATCTCTCTCAAAGCTATCTGAATAAAGAAGTCCATTGTTTTTCTTATTATAACTAAATTATTGTAGGTTATGTTCCATCGATTGGTAAAACTGTCGGTGCAAAGTATACTGGTAATCAATACCATGAAATACAACATGACAATGGTGATCATTATATTGTAAGATTTCAATATGAATTTTTTGCTTATCCAGTTCCTTGTAATCTTTTAGTTAACATGTCGACCAGAAAAATTACGTGAATTTAAAACTCATGTACAGCGACTTTTACTTTTATTACGAAAACGTTTAGCATTTATAACGAATGGTTCACGTCGTGTATTCGGAATACTTGGAGAACCAAGTATATGTTTTGTATGTGATTGTAAAACAACAGATCATCGTAAATTTAATCAATTTCAATCGACTCTAGCAAGCTTACTTAGAGAGCAAGTCTCCAAAATAAAACGATTTAATATTATTTGGTAAAAAACTACTCCTCTCTCTTTTAAGCAATTGTTTTATTTTATTTGATATTCATGATAAAATTAGGGTTTCAAATGATAAAGAACAATTTCAAGAACAACCGATTGATGTTACGCAAACAACTATTGATCAAGCTGTAAGTTCAGAGTTAACATAAGATCAAATTTAAGAAAATGTACACTGTATAGTAATTTTCTAAATATGTTAGATACTTTCGGTGAATATTGAAGAACGAACTAAAAACATGACTAGATGAAAATTATACTTGAAAGAATTGTTCAATTCAATATATTCCATTTCTTTTTCGTTTAGATTGATTGGATTAGTGAACGAAAATGCCCTCGAAATAAAATCTCAATAAGTGCAACATGTGAAGCTATGCTTAAAGCTTTTACAAGCTCTGTAAATTTTTTATGAACGTTTGTTTTCTTTTCTAATTTTTTCTTTTATTAAGGCTCATAGTATCTATTTAATCAGCGAAGGTGATTCATCTGATTCTGCTCGTGAAATCTTACGTGATAATATTGTTAAAACACGTCTTTCATCAAATGTACCTATACCTGTTCATGTTGTATCATTATTTTGTAATAATAGCGATACAGAAGCATTTCTACGATCTCTCGCTCAAAGTGCTGATGGAAGGTACGAATTAATACAAAAGTTGCTTTTATTTTTTTATAATTTATTTTCAATTTATTAGTTTTACGTCATATAAAATTCATGGTGAAAAAACTGATTTAAAACCTTCGTCAAACTTAACTGATCCAACAGGGATTAGATTTCAAGATAATACAATAAAATTTGGTACAAATGCAGCAATGAGTAAACCTGAACAATCAACTGATTTAACATTAATGTATAAAGAAATAAATCAATGTCATAATATAATTGAACGTCTAGATAAAATTCTTGCATTTGTACAAAATGAAAATACCGCATCAAAAACTGATAGTAAATAATAAAAAACAAAAGAGATTTTGAAAATAAAAATTTCATTTCTCCTTTTTTTAGCAACAAAATCATTAGATATATATAACGCGTCGAATAATAAAAATAATAGTAATATTAACAATAACAATCCACAACGTAGTATTGTTATTCCATCAGCAACATTATTTAATCAAGATGAAACTGAAATGTCATCGGGTGATTGGTTAAAAATTTATGGAATAGATGCACAAAAATTAGATGTTATTTCAGTTCTTCAAACAGTTGCATTTCGACACTGTGATGGAGTTGTTACTGTATTGAAACAACCAGAAGATAGCAATGGAAAATTTGATAAAACTCCAGCTGTAAGTATTGATTCCACAAACTTTGTTATTATTCTATCTTAATCAAGTATGAAGAAGTTGAGAATGATTTATTTCTTTTGTCGATCTCTGACAATTATCGTATAAATAATAGAATGTTCAAAAGAATGTCAATATAAACGGATGTATCTTTTATATGAGAGACATTCATGTAGGTGTAAGTCTTAACATATTCTTATGATCATATATCTTATTTATGGATAAAATGAATAGTATTCAGTTTTATCTGAAACATCATTTGGAAAGTGTAGTAAAAAATCATACTACGAGAATAATACTTGTTTTATTAACTGATTTCTTTTTTCAGAATCCAAAACAAACATTAGTTAATGCAAAATATTGTGATCAATTTGCTCATATGGCTTGGTCGGATGGAACAATTCGACATGTTTTTGTTACGACAGATATGCATCGGTATATTAATTAAACCAATGTTTTTGTTAATTCATTATTTGTTTTGTTATTCTAGAGATTATGAAAGACGAATACGAGCATTACTTGAAAAAATTAAAGCACGGTAAATCTATTGATAAGAAAATCAAATTTTTTTAAAACAAATCTTCTTTGTATTTTCAGATTATCATGGTTAAAAAAAGGAAGTCGAGATCTTTTTGGTACAATAGTAGAAAAGAATATATATATTCTAATTGATTCATCAATAAGCATGCGAAATCATTTAGATTTCGTCAAAGAAAAACTTCGTTTATTAATTCAAGTAATACACATATTCATTTCTATCGAAATACATATTATTAAAATCTTTAGGATCAATTGTTTTCTAAAGAACGTATTAATGTGGTAGCATTTAATACTATAACTAATCCTTGGTGTGAACGTTTAGTAAAAGTAACTGATTCTAAAGTCACTTCTCAACTTCCACAATGGATTGATGAACTTTACGCTGAAGGATCAACAAATACATTAGCTGCACTTCGTTTTGCACTTGCAGATCCAGTTACAGAAGCTATTTATTTATTAACTGATGGACGACCTGATCAAGTAATAATTTGTCTATTGAAAAAATAAAATATCATTATGATATAATTATTTTCTAGAGTGAACGACATATTCTTTCACAAGTTCAATATCGTCAGAAAGTACCAATACATACGATAGCATTTAATTGTCAAGATCATGTAGCAAATCAATTCTTAATTGATTTATCTAAACAAACAGGTGGTCGTTTTCATGCATTTAACTATGGATTAGACAATGAAGGGACACCTGAAATACCTGAAGTGAACTTTTTTTTTTGCTTTCATAAATATCAATATTTATCGTTTATTAATTTTACTTAGAGCGAAGATGTTACTCATCTTAAACAAGAATTAGCACGTGGTGAAAAAGATCTTCAACGTATATCTGGTTTACGTGATGAATGTAGTGGTCGTGCATGGTCACTTAATAGTATAGAAGCAAAATATAAAAATGCACGAATAAATGAACTTGCAGCATCATTACCAAACAGAAGTCATAGTGCACTTGATACAACATCTCGACCAAATTATAATAGTAAGTCAACATATAAAAAAGATAGTCGAATATAGTTCAATTCTATTTCTACACAGTAATTCGTTGCTACGTTTCTGTTTGATTCTCAAGGTAGATTATCTAACTTTC